AGCGAGAGAGCGAGAGAGAGAGAGAGAGAGAGAGAGAGAGAGAGAGAGAGAGAGAGAGAGGGGTCATACTGCACACATACCAGCTTCATCACTGTGTCTGTCACACGACTCTGTTCCCCTTTCGGGCTCTGTCTTTACATTTATTTTGAAAGATGAAGCTTGCGATTATGGTAATGGTAAGCACATTTCCAACGAGTGCTTGCGGTGTTCGGCCAATAACAATGAGCCAATCAGCGCAGACTGCGCTTGTCGGAAGGAGGGACTTTGTAGAAAACGAAGCGTTTGAGAGAGGCGGGGCATAGAGGGCCTACAATAATGTGATTAAAAATTGTGTTGAAAAATAATGTGTTTTCTGAACATTAAAGCATGTCAACATATTCTGTTACACCTAGGGATGTAACGATTACCGGTTTGACGATAAATCATGATAAAATTCCCCACGGTTAGTATTACCGTTTCATATTTTAATTATCATTAAAACCGTATTAGATTACCGTGATTTGAACAACTCGCGATAAATAAATACTGTCCAGCATAAAGCACAGTTTTAAGTAACAGTCTAACGTGCGCACAGCACACAGTAGTTTGGTTTTGAGTGAAAATAGGGTGGAAAAGCTGTGGGGTTTTAAAAGAATTATACAAATGAATATATGAATTAATTAATTATATGAATGTACCTCTGAAGGTTCTAACTGTCTTCAGAAACGATTCGATGGCATTTTGTTTTCATCTTCGCTCCATGTAATACCTAAAGGAAGTGTTCTTAATCGCAATACTGCTTTGTCCACGGATACTGATAACGTGACAATTTTGATCACTATAATCGTGATAAGAAATTTTCATACCGTTACAGCCCTAGTTACACCAAATACACAAAATAATGATCTTTAAAAAAAGCATCATATGACCCCTTTAAGTGACAAAGCTTTCACTCTTTTACCAATATTCATTATATATATATATCTATATCTCACATATTTGCTCAAAAACAACTTAAATGGTCATTGTTTTAAATAAAATCAACATTAATTTCAACCAAACAGCAATTGCTGCCAAGTAGAACTAAAATGTTTAAAGTGCAAAACCTTAAATATACATAAACAAAAGGAAGAATGTTATTGAATCATTTTTCAAATTGAATATACACTAATAAGTTAATTGTGAACTAAAACTGAAACTGTTAAAAATAGTTTTCTTGAATTGAAATAAAGCTGAAATTAAATAAAATCTATATATATGAAAAACGTACTGTCTTTGAAACTAGCAGAAAACAGTTGAAGTAATGAAATTACTAAAATTAAAGCTGAAATAAAAAAATGAAAACCAAACAGAAAAATTAACAAGTAATATAACATTTTGAAATGTTACAAGACAATTTGTCGAAATTACTCTAATTATATTTGTTACTGAAGTGTAGATGAGGAATGCTCTTAAAACATTTTTTAATGCTCTCATTCATGACATATTATTTTCATCTAAACCACTAGATGGTACAAAAATGTGGCGTAGCACTTTACAAAACATCGGCTTTTCAAGATGCACATGTTTATTTGTCTGATCTTTGACGCGATCGCGCAGCAGCACAAAGTTGATTCTGTTCTTACTTGATCTAATATTTGATGTTTTTTAAATGTTGTGGATTTAAATAGCAAATGAGAATCGCTAAATTTAATGCATATATTTTAAGACAAAGGTCTTCTTTATGATTTTCAGTTTTGTTAAAGATAATTAAAGCAACAGTTTTTAAATAACGAAAGAATATGTAAAAGTATGGTATTTTGGGTAAAAAGCGCCCCTGCTGTTGTGGCTAAACGCGCATAGCAATTAACAATTAATAGATGGCTGACTTTTCCATTTCTTGACATGACATTGTTAGATTCAGATGGTAAATATCATATATTATGTTGGGTGTCAATATTATAGATAATCACCCTGTTTAGAATGAAACCATCAGATTTAAAAGCATGATATTAATCATATCATATAATACAATCTCATTTGTTGTTACTACTGTAAATATATATTCAATTATTATTGGATCTCTTTCAATACTTTCAGAATCTTTACTTAAAAAAATGATTTTGTTTCTGTATTTTAAAATATATTAACATTAACATATTTTAATGACAGTATAATTATTGAACAAAAATGAATTATTTTATTTTTCAAAATAAGCAGAAAATAGTACAAACTTTGCTAAAGTGATTGTTTTGAACAAGTATTAACTTAGAAATTACTTAAAAAACATTATTTTAGCTGAAGTATTTGTATCAATACCGTGTGCCTTTTACCCCATGCTGGTGGGCCTTTTACTCCGTGTGTGGGGTAATTCACCACCTCATACATTTATAAGACTTTTAAACAAAATGAACAACTTGATTTTTTTTCCCACACAAATCTGTTGCTCCATTAATGTTCAATACAACGAATATATTTTTTCCTGCAATCATACATTTTAGGCGCAGTGAATAGCACATTTTTTCTTAAGGTGGGCCTTTAGCCTCGTTGTACCCTATCTGATAGGGGGTTTGGGGTTGGATACTCACATTTGAGGTAATCAGAGTTGAGGTTTTCAATGTCTGGGTGTGAGGACAGAGCTTTATAGACTTCTTCATGCTCCCCCACTGGTAGAAAGTTTAAAAGGTTCTGATCCACCAGGTCCGACTGAAACAAACACGATTATATATGAACATATGACAGATATAAAACGTAGCAATTCCAAGACCAAAATAAATATTTAAATAGACTACAAACAATCTGCAAACTCTCACGTACGGCTAAATGCTCAAGTAGAGAAGTTACGCTTTCTGAGGTGTAAATGATGTTGCCGTCTGTCAGCATCACTATGAAGAACCCATCCAGCGCCTTAAAAAAAAACATAAAAATGCATTACTAAAACAGGTCCAACCCATAAACAAAAAAATGTAGAAGTGATGGGTGAAAAATGAAAAATATTAAACATGAATGAGGATGCACTCAATTTTTTATTAGTGGAAACATCTTTCACAACAGGAAGAAACAGAAAGATAAAAACAAATACAAACACAAATATTGCCCAAAGCAAGGTCATACCTCTAGCATCAGCTGTGTAAACTCTTCATTGCTAAGAAATGGGGGTTTCCAATCTTGCTTGATCTCACTTGACTCAGACTGTGCAGCAATTTCTGCATGTGAACAAACAATTCCTTAGAAATAGTTTTCCTCGGATCTGCATGTTTCAGTTGCTTAGAGACTACACTACCTTTAAAAAGTTTTGGCTCGGTAATCAAGTTACCTTTAAGAAGTTTCTTATGCTCACCAAGGCTGCACTTATTTGAGGAAAAACAGTAATATCATAAAATATTATTACAATTTAAAATAATTATTTTCACATAAAATACTGCAGTAGTATGCTGCTTTGTGGTCATTCATTCATCCATCCATTTCTTTCTTCAGTCGAAAGAAATTAAGGTTGAGGAAAACATTCCAGAATTTTTCTCCATATAGTGGACTTCAGCGGGAGCCAACTGGTTGAAGGTCATAATTGCAGCTTCAAAGGGCTCTACATGATCCCAGACGAGGAATAAGGGTCTTATCTAGTGAAACGATTGGCCATTTTCTAAAAACAAAATAAAAATGTGACCTTTCTAACGTGATTATGTAACGCATGAAGTCAAGGTAGTGCAAGACGAGCATTTGTGGTTAATAAGTATATACATTTCAATTGAAAAATAAAATAAAATTACTGATTGTTTCGCTAGATAAGACCCTTATTCCTCGGCTGGGATCATGCAGAGCCCTTTGAAGCTGCACTGAAACTGCAATTTGGACCTTTAACCTGTTGGGTCCCATTGAAGTCCACTATATGGAGAAAAATCCAGGAATGTTTTCCTCTAAAACCTTCATTTATTTTCGGCTGAAGAAAGAAAGACATGAACATCTTGGATGACATGGGGGTGAGTAAATTATAAGGACATTTTTTATTCTGGAAGTGAACTAATCCTTTAATTCAAGAGTGAAGTCCAGTTATAATTATATTTATATATTTAACTTAGAAAATAAAATATCTGGAAGATATTAAAATTCATTGGTGAATGGTGATAACTGTGTATCTGGAGTTGGGGGTTAAGCATATTGCATTGTGGGATTCTGTGCAGTATGATGTGATTTATACTGCACCCTTTTGGCATTTTTGTAGGTCATCCAGGCATACAATGTAGGGATGCACCGATACCTGTACTCGTACTCGTTAAAATGCCCCGATACCAAACGCCGATACCACACAGCATGTGATAAGCGCCATATTCAGACAAAGAAACACTGACAACAGAACAGCAGACAGCAGAAAGGAGTTAAGGGTGTCTACTACGAAGTATATGTATGCAATGAATATAATGTTAAACATTCAGTATTAACACCTGTATAGCTGGTGTGCGCGAGCTGATAAAGCACGCTGAGTGGATTGAGCACAGATGCGCGAGCTTGTAGAGTGAATATACCTTTCTCACAGACATCACTGGAAAGTTTGTAATTCAGCCGGATATGTCAAAAACAAGTAAGTAAAACAATGCACAAGTTACTTAACGGTAGGGAGAGAGAGGGAGAGCGAGAGAGAGAGAGAGAGAGACAGACAGAGAGACAGAGAGAGCGTGCGCAATTCTGTTGTGTGATCTTTGACGTTCACTCACTTAGCACACGCATCGTTTGGATTAAATCGTACAAATAAAACCCTTCATAGGGGCATTCACTATAAACAATTTATTTTCAACCTTAGGCATACACGACTTTCTGGCGAAAGTGAAACTAACAGCCTGTGTGAAATGCGGTAGGCTGTACTATTCTGCACCAATACAAATACGTGCAGGCGTTGCGCGTGTTTTGCTTGCTTGAGTGTTTCTGCATTATATGAGTGGCTTTGGAATATAAATCGCAGCACGTTTCAGATGAAAAAACGTGACTTCTATTTCTGAAAATATCACAGTTAGGAGATTTATAACGAGTGGTTCCCTGCATTATTACAGCAAAGCACGTGATTACAGTACTAAGCCGCTGCAATGGAGCAGCTCTAATGCTATTAAATTAAAGATTACATTTTAAAATTAACAGTGAAAGTAACAAAAACTTGTAAAATACATTTTAATGGGCATAATTAAGTGTGAAAATAACCGAAGGATATACAGTGAAACCAAAAATTATTCAGAGACCAGATATAATTTTTGATATTTTTTTTACTAGTGGATGCCGGACTCTATAGTTCATTTATGTAAGTGAGGATAGCAAAATAAAGTAAACTGTGACAAATCGTACCCAAAAATTCTTCATACAGTGGACTACCAGTAAAATTGATACAAATTTGGGTCCAAAAATTATTCAGACCGAGTCTGGGGAAAAAAACTGAAGTTGAGGTTTTTATGAAGCTGAGTGCCAGCATGCCCAGGAGACTACAGGCTGTCATTGAGGCTAAGGGTCACCTGACAAAGTATTCATAGTTGTGTAAATACTGTCATACTAACAGCTGTCTGAATTATTTTGGTTGATTGTAATCTATTACATACCTTTCTATCAAAGTTATCTGACATTATCAAGATTAATTTGTTCTGACAGAGCGTAACTCTGAGTTCTTGTCATATTTTATTACCATTTTCTAAACTATAGCGAATAAACTGTGATAATGTGAGAAATGTTGAAGTTGTCTGAATAAATCTTGGTTTGACTGTATCTATTTGACAAATGAAGTTAACCAACTAACATTATACATACCCTTTTGGTTTCTATACCCAATATTTAAAAAATGTACAAATGCAATAAAAATATCGGTATCGGTACTCTGTATCGGCAAGTACCAAAAATAAAAGTATCGGTATCGGGCGAGTACTGGAAAAAGTGGTATCGGTGCATCCCTAATACAATGCATACAAAAAATTAGCATATGGCTCACAACACACATACTGCAGAAACTGCATGAGTAGCATGATAGTAAAGCTGCATAATAAATCAAGATTACAACTTTTGCTGTGATAGATTAATTGTGATTATATGGCTTTTTTTTGCAGCAGCAGCAGCAGTTGAGCATTAGGACCCATTACACACATTTGCTGTGTGCATGAGTGCTATGGGTGCTATGGCAAAATAATAATACAGATCTGTAATTATTCCAGTAATTATTTGCCTCACCTTTGTGCTTGCGCAGGTAGTCTATGCTTTTCTGCAATATTGTAGACTTGTCCATTTTGCGTGTATTTCCAGGCAACATGGTGCCAAGTTCCTTAATGAGGACATTGAACTGGTCTCGCCTTTTCTTCTCTGACTTATTTCTCGAAACTCTGATTGAAGATAATAAAGTTGAGAAAACAAAGCATTAGAAAAGGCTGAAAATGCTTATTCATGATAAACATCACTTCAGACTTGCTGGAAGAAAACGACAACTGTAAACATTAACCTTTAGACCAATAGCTGAAGTATGCAAGCATAACCCATTAAAATAGTGCTTTTAAACAAGTTAGCGTGTTTTATGATGCATTTATGATATTGACATATTGGCTTATGTTGTTCATGAGAAAAGTGAACAACATAAGCCATATTAATAAGCCCAGTTCAGATGAAGTTAGAAAAATGCTTGCGTTTTAGTAGCAATGCAATACGGTGATGCAAGAATACATCTTGTGGTTTTCACTAGAGCCCGACCGATATGGGTTTTTTTGGGGCCGATACCGATATTAGGGAGTAAAAAAGGTTGATACCGATATATCGGCCGATATTCTTTGTGTATATTATAGTACAGTACCAGTCAAAAGTTTGGACACTTTCCCATTTGAGGGTCCAAACATTTGACTGGTACTACATTTAGAATACAGTATATACATAAACACATTTTTTGCAATGATCACTCAAATGTGGTGATCAAACACTTATAATGGTGACAGAGATATGTAAGGGAATTTAACAATAAACTTTACTATCCAAAATGAGTCTGACATCAATTCACTGAACAGTAAAGTTGAAGTTTATTCAACTTTAATTCAATTCAATTCAATTCCATTCAACTTTATTCCGTTGAAGTTTATTTCACTTCGGAACATTCATTCACAGATTTGCGCTACTGTCTTCCCACACAGACAAAACTTACTAGAGAAGTGTGAAGTGTGACATAATATAATATAGGGGAGTGCGATGCACAAAGTAACGGGGGGTTAGTTGTAACACACGTGGTATGAATATTTACTTTACCATAGTAAAATTAAAATTCTGGCTTAAGTAATTTTTTTTATCTGTTTTTATTATTCATTTAAAATGAGACAAATCTGCTATTATTTTAATCTCCAATCCGTTTTATTATCAGTTCAGATAGTTTTTTAATGATTTGATTACTAGCAGAAGACACTAACCAGTTTTAAATTCCAGTTGCGCAGATGGGGCACGTTGTAACACTGCGTTACAATGTGCTATTCTATGACATTAGCAATGTAATTTACACTAT